CAAGCTGACCAAAGAAGCCACCTCCCAATCATTTAAATTCCTCCTGAATTGAGGGTTCCAAGTACAATGTCCATTTTTCCTCTCCAAACAATCAGYCACTGTTGCATTCTTGTTTACAGAAATTTCAAACAGATCAGGGAATAAGGCCATTAGAGGGCCATCCCCACACCAGTAGTCCTTCCAAAAAAGCACCTTCTGACCATTGCCTACTTCGTATTTTATACCCTCCAAAAGCTGAGGCTGAATTTTCTGAATTGCCTTCCAATTTGAACACCCGTAAAGAGATCTTACTCCTTTTGTTTCCCACTCCCGGCTACCAGATCCATATTTAGATACACCTTCTCAACAGACTATCCTTGCTCGTTGAATCTCCATAACCAGTTCCCTAGCAAGGCGGTGTTGGCATCTTTCACTGATCTGATCCCTAGACCCCCATTAGCCCTGGAGCTGCAGATTTTCTTCCAGTTCACCAAGTGGCATTTTGATTACTCCTTCCACCCCCTCCACAGAATATCTCTCATCTTTTTTTTTCCTAATGCTGCAGACCATTTACTCCTTCCACACCCTCCATCCTCAACTGCATCTACATCATCTCTCCTGTCTTCATTATCCTAGTGAGTGAAACAGGTTTTGGTTGTAGACTTGTAGGTCTACTATTAAATTGATCAGGATGGCATGGATGCATAAATTCCTTCTGTTCTTAGTGCTTGGAACTGGGAGTGCGTGTGCATGAAAACCCAGGCACTCGGACATAAAATTTAATGCCATAAAATTACAAGGCCTTCTATTTGCCATAAACATTTTGATTTTCTTAACATTAAGAATTATCTCCTGATTCTTGCAATCATTTATCTTCAACTATCTAACTTGTTACTTTTTAATGTTTTTATGTTTGACAGCATTCTGTGGTGGCCATCTGGAAGGACTGATAAGTTGATTAGCATTGATGAAAGAAATATTTTCTTGTGGAGATTGGATTCTGCAAAAAAGACTGCAAAGGTGTGATCCACAGGGGAATTCAGTGATCCAATAACAATTATCTATGATTAATTCCCCTCAAATGCATTGCTGCATTTAAGGTTTCTTGTTCCTCTCTTTCTGTTTTTAGAGTATCACAACTCTTATTTGAAGTTGTAAATTTCTGAAACTGCTGGTTACACATGTGCCTTATTAGAGAGTCTTGGTTTTATATGGTGGCATGTAGTCATCATGCATTTACGACTTTATTTCTTGCTTTTGTAGAGATCAATTTTGATATTAATCTTCACTGAAAGTCAAAGAATAAGACATGTAATTATGTAGGTAGAAAATGATTACTTGGATAATGATACAGTGTAGGAAATGTCAAATTGGAAATTGTAACCCATGGAATTTCCTGTTGTTGGTGGGTTTCCCTCAGAGTTGAGTCTTTCTATGATTGGCCATTAGTCTTCCTTGATATCATCTGTCCATCTATATGGGGCCACCTATACGAATCCTGTTTTGCCAATCCATTCTGTTTGGTGCCATTTCCGTTGTAAAATTATGGGTGCTTGAATAATTTCTTACTACTTCACCCAAGTCCTTCTTGGTCTGCTCCTGACTCTTCTAGCCCCTTCAACTTGTAGCAGATCATTTCCTCAATAAAGCGCTGAAAATTAGTCATCAAAACCTTGGAAATTTTGAGTTCAAACTCCAAAAAGATGTCTTATGTTTGAAATTTTGGATGAACTGGTTAGTTATTTTCCCTTTCTATCTAGGACTACTGCTTCATTGGACTTTCTTTTTCTTCTCTCTTGGTTCTGCTTGGATATATTCTTTTGTTCCTACTGCTTTGCTTTATTAGCTACATTATTAACAGGTATTAGAGGCATTATCCTTTGGAACTTGGCTTCTTTTTGGTTTGCTGGAGTGTGTGGAATGAGAGAAATCATATGGTTTTTTAATGAAAAGGCATTTTCTGTTTTATTTTTTTTTATTTGACTGGTAGTAGCTTTTTAATGAATTAGGATTTGACATTTGAAAACTATAGTTATTCTAATAGGAGGGATTTCATATTTAATTTGCATGTTGTTTTGCCTTTTGTGTATAGGGGGTCATATTTTGCGATCCTTGCACTGCAGTGGTTAGACTCAAGTAGGACACTGGGGAGGCATCTAATTCATGCTATGGGGTGTGTGTTGAAGGGGATGATGAAGTTTCATGTAGAATTTGCAGGTCATATGAAGTTTATATTGTGATGGGAGTAAGATGAGATTTTGGTGAGATGAATGGTATGGGAAGGGGAAGTGGTGTGGCATTTAAAAGGGCAGCTCAATGCACGAGGCTCCCACCAATGCGGGGTCTGGGGAGGGACCGATGCATGCAGCCTTACCCCTGCACATACGGAGACGCTGTTTCCAAGATTTGAACCCTGGTCACCCAGGTTGCAATGGAGCAACCCAACTGTTGTATGACATTTGTCCAAGATTATATTGGCTGGGTTCCAAAAACACTGGGATGAGTCGATGCTTTAAAAAGGGGGGAGCAGATTGTTTGGTGTCTGAGATTTAGATGATCGTTATTGGATAGGGAAATGGAGGTGTGTACTACTTTGTTTGCAAGATTGGAGGCAGCTAAAATTGATCATACATTGTCAGACACAAGATGGTAGAAAGAATGTATGGATGAGAGGTTTACAATCAAGTCATAATATCGAAGCAACAATGGATGGACATGAGATACTGAAAAAAAATGAATGTAGTTACTCAGGGGTTGATTTTTTGCTTGGTTGATTGCTTTGAATTGGATCTTAATCCTAGACCACTTGATGCACCTTTTAAGTTTTTGCAGTTTGACAGAGTCTATTTGTTGTTTTCTTTTTACTGTTGTTAAGGCCAAGTATCATGAGAAACAACAAAGCTATGGTTCTATTGAGTGTTATTCCTTTTGCAGTGTGTTGGGGTGTATGAAAAGAAATAAACAGGCATATTTTTGAAGACAAAATACAAGTTGAAAGGAAATTTGTGGTTGACATTAACTTCTTAGTCGTGGTTGGGTGTTTTTTTTTTTTTGATCATCAAAGGAAACTTTTATTTGAAATTAGATTTAAGAAGTTTTACAACTTTGTGTATGGAACTAGAAGTCCCACACGATTACATATTTCTGTCCCTTTTACAATGCAGCCCAAAACAATTGTTGCCTCAAAGCCCCTTGTTTAGCAAGATCATCAGCTAGCCCATTTGCACTCCTTCTAACCCATTTGAGTTCTGCCTCTACCTCCCTTGCAACCTTTTCCACTTCCGTTATCACTTGTTTGAAGGTCCACGGAGTAGTTCTATTATCATTAGCCCAAGAGATGATCACCTTGGAAACCCCTTCAGCCTCAATTTGCCTCATTCCAAGTTGCTTGGCTATCTTCAATCCTTGTAGCAATGCCATTACCTCAACTTTTAGAGAGTTGCCCATGCCAAAAGGTCCAGAGAATAATGCTAATATCCTCCCTTCAGAATTTCTGATTACTCCCCCGATACCTGACAGTCCCGAATTTCCAAATGAACTTTCATCAAAATTTAGTTTAATTCTGTTACCATCTGGAGGTTTCCATTCCGCCCTTATCTCTCTTTCACTCTTGAAGATTGTGATACTTCTATCTAGGATCTTATAATGTCCGTGACTGAGAACTCTTGGAAGATATGCAAAGAGCTTACCTAACGGGCTACTTTAACTTTGATTGTGTCAATCACCTCCTCCGTGGACCTACTCTTTTCTAAAATTATTCTGTTATTCCTTTCTTACCATATCACCCAACAAATAGCTGCCTTTGTATCTTTCCACATAACCTTCCCTCTTTTCTTTAATTGTCTCAAATGGTCTCGGTTGAAAAGACCTACCACATCTTGAGGGGAAACCCACCTGCAACCAAAGAGAAGACAAAAAGAATCCCAAACATGATGCACAAAAGAACAAGATAAAAATAGGTGTCAAGGTCTCACCACTTTCCTTACAAAGGGAGCACATGTGAGGAGAAAGGCAAGCAAAAGGCCTTATTTTCTGCAGCATATCACACGTATTAACCTTGCCAAGGAAAATTTCCCAACAGAAGGCTTGAATTTTTGGGGGATAGGCTTACTCCAAATTTCTTTTACAGGGAAGTCCCCAGCCGGGTTGCTAGGTGAGGCAAGAACATTAAAGAAAGAGGAACAAGAGAAGAGGCCATCTGTGGAGCCTTTCCAACTTCTGGAATCTTCCAAGGAAGGGTCCAAAAGAACTTGTCCTAGAAGATCCAACAAGTGATTTTTTTTTTTTATTTTTTTATTTATGAATAACTGATTACTTCATTGAATTTAAAAAACAAAATACAAGAGAAAGTGAGAGAGAGAGACAATCTCTCTTATCTCTCCCCTTTAACTTTAGATATAATTACAATTATATTTGAGCCCAAAATGTTTGAATTCTCCCAACCCCTTGCTTGGCTAGTGCATCAGCCATTGAATTAGCTGTTCTTTTCACCCACTGTATTCTCAGTTCCATGTCCTTCGTGATCCATCTGATTTTTTTCTTCTCATTATTATATTTCCACATCCTACTTTCCTCATCCAGTAGCCAAGCCACTACTAGTTTGGAATCCCCTTCAATGATTAGCTTTCTAGCATTCATGGTTCTAGCCCTTTGCACCCCTTCCAAGACTGCCATTACTTCCGCTCTTAGTGAGTCTCCTTCATCTACTGGGCCTGAGAATAATGCACACACTTTACCCTCCTCATCCCTGAATACACCTCCAATTCCTGACCTTCCTGGGTTTCCCATGCTACTGTCGTCAAAGTTAAGCTTTATAAATCCTCTTTCAGGAGGGGTCTAGATAGGGATAACAGGCTACTTATTGACGTGTGAGTCTGCCACCATCTTCCAGTTTCTAATGATATCATCAATGGATATATGTGAGAAGATACTTAAGGATTTCAGCCATTGAGCGACTCTAACCAGTATTGATTCAATCAAGGCCTCTTTTGTAGATCTAGCAAGTGAATTAAGGATGCACATTCATTTTCCCTTAGGCCCCTTCTGAAACCCAGATTCCAATTGATCCCACTTGGGCCAGGATTACCCAAAAGACTTATTGTTTTCCTTTGAAGTTTGACAAAGTGTAAAGGTCAGGGAAAAGGTCTTTGAGTGGACTATCTCCCACCCAAAGATCTTCCAGAAATGAACTTTATTGCCCTGGCCCACATCAAACCGAATAGAATTAAGGAAAGTTGGGTAAATTTCATGAATAGCTTTCCAAGGAGAACAAGAGGATGCATGAGGGGCGACTTTTGCATCCTAACCATTCCCATCCAAACCATGAATACTCGCAATGACTTTGTGCCATAGCCTATCTCTCTCAAAAGGGAATCTCCACAACCATTTTCCTGACAGAGCTGAGTTCCTAAGTGAAATATTTCCTATTCCCAAACCTCTTTTATCCTTGGGCTTTCTAACTTGATCCCAATTAATCAAGTGATCCTTCTTCTCCTCTCCTGGGTCTCAAAGGAAATCTCTCAAGTATTTTTCTAATCTCCTTGCCACTCTACACGGTATTCTAAAGGTTGAGAGGAAGTAAATAGGGAGGTTTGCCAACGTGGGTCTGATCAGTGTTATCCTTCCACCAAGAGAGATGTAGTTCCTCCTCCAAAGAGCTAGCTTCCTAGCAAATCTTTCGATGACAGGCTTCCAAAAATCTTCTGACCTAGGATTACCACCTAAAGGTAATCCCAAATAGCTAGTTGGCCAACTTTTAATCTCACACCTCAAAATCTTTGCGAATCTATTAAGTTCCCCTTCCTCCAGTTTGATCCCTACGATGCCTGTTTTGGTCCAATTAATCCTTAAACCTGTTATCCCCACAAAGTTATCCAATAGCCTCTTTAGATTTACCACACCTTCCTCGTTACCATCCTCACAAAAGAAGATTGTGTCATCTGCAAATTGGAGGTGGGTAACAGCCTCTTGATTTCTACCTATCCTCCACTCCCTGAACAACCCTTGGGAATCGGCTTTTGCCACCATTCTACTTAACACCTCAGCCACTACAGTAAAGAGAAAGGGAGATAAGGGGTCTCCTTGCCTAATTCCTCTCTCAGCCGGAAAGAAATCCCTTGCTACTCCATTAATAAGAATTGAGTAATGGGCAGAATTCAGACATCCTCTGATCCAAGATCTCCACTTAGTTCCAAAGCCCAACCTTTCTAACAATTGAAGTAGCACTTCCCAATTAACCATGTCATAAGCTTTCTCTAGGTCCACCTTACATACCAACCCTTTTCCTCTACCCTTTCTTTAATTTACAGGATACGAAGTCAGTCATTAAGATCAAATTTATGTTCATATTTAAGACTTGTGAGTGGATTCTGGGAATCTTTGATGGTGGTTATTTTATTGTTTTAATTAATGAATATTAGACTTATGTTGTGAAGTCTTGTCACCAATTGGCTTTAACATTTAAGGTTTCATGAAAAATTTTACTATTTATTATAAAAAAGCCTCTTTGACATCAGAATTTGTGATCCAAGAAAACTTCTTTATATTAACCCTTGCTTTCATTTTGAGGCCATTTATTTGAGAGCATGAAAAGTTAACAACTCTAAGTGGCCGGAAAGTAGCTTAATGCCCTGATCAAATTGCCCATGACATAACTGCTTAGAAAAGAAATAAATCCTGATATGCTTGATCATTAAATCACTTTAGGAGTTTTCTGTTAAGATTTTATTTTAAGTATTTATCAAAAATAGATTTCTCATTTAAGTAGGCTCAACTTGCCTTTCTTCTATAATGTACTTGGCTAACAGCAAAACAGTAGAACTGTTTCCATGCATTTGCACTTGGTTAAAATTTCTGTGGAAGTGTTTAAATTATTATAGCATTTTAGATGCAGACAGATGTGTATCGTTTGTATAGATGGATGTAAATGCCACAAACACTGATTAGGCATGAAGTTTGCACTTGAATCACTCAATTTCTGTCATTTCTCTGGATTGTGTGCATGCATGTATGGATCAGTACATACCACCTCTCCAGAATTTGCAGGGTGTTCACCAGAAAATTCTTTTCTCTTCTTCCTCATCTATTATTAGTTCTTTATCCTCATCTCCATTTTACAATTTTTTTGTTTCAATCCCTTCTTATTTCACAATGATCAGGCTTGAATTTTACACTTACATAACTCAATTTCTGCCATTTCTCTGGAATGTGTATGCATGCATGTATGGACCTATGAATTAATTCATGCCACCTCTCCAGAACCTTTTTATTGGAAACTGAGCAACTTTTGTTACCTTGATATTTTTCTTGAGAAACTTGTTTTCTTCAAAATTCAGAACCTTCTGGAGGTGTCAGTAGGTTTGGCCAATTTTACCTGATTGTATGAAGCAACTTTTCTTCCCATGTTTTAATTTAAAACAATGCAAACTATCATGTTCTTATCAGCAAGCAAGTTCTCCAATCCATAGTATTAATTTGACCTTCCTTAAGTTCACTAACTGCTTTTCCATGTCATAGTCGGATTCTTTATCTTTATGCTGAATGTTAATAATCTTTTTTGGAGCTTAGGTACAATCTCAGGAAACTGTTGGTATGCTGCATTCCTTCTCTGGTGGAGCATGGGATCCACATGATCAGAATGCAGTTGCAGCAACATGTGATTCATCAATCCAGTTTTGGGACATAAGGATGATGAAGTATGATTCTTTTCACTCACTCACTCACTCACTCTATCTATATATTTAAATGGTCATTACCTAATGTTGGTGTTAGCTATCTGGGTAGGGGTGCTGAACAAAAACTGAAAAACTGAACCGAAAAATCTGGTTAACTGAACTGATCGGGTCAGTGTTTTGCAAAAACTGATGCTATCAGTTCGTTTTTTGGTTAACCTAAAAGAAAAACCAGTGGTTAACTGAACCGACCGGTATATATATTTAATATATATTATATTATCTATATATTTTATATACATTTTTATGCCCTATATAAATATATATTATATTTTTATTGTCTATTTATAATATATTAAATAAATTATATATTTATAGAATTTATATTATATATATAAATATAAAATTGAGTTAATTGATTGGTTTTGGTTGCTGGCCTGGCCGGTGGCATCAGTTTGGTTTAAAAAATTAGCTCATGGTTTGGTTAACCGAACCGTGAGCACCCCTAATCAACTCGCCATTGACTTGGCTGATTGAACCTTTCGAAGTTCAAACCATCATCCGGCTGTTGGGCTGTGATTCTAGGTCTGGTTCTAGTAAAACCCAGGAATTGGTCAAAACCGTTGACTGGTCAAAAACTGTCTAACTTGGGCGGTTGGACCGTTGACCCGTTCGACCTGGTCATGGGTTGCACACTAAATGTGTATGCAAACTTTTGGAGTCTATAACTTTGCACTCTGATGTCCAATTGGGGTGATCTATTTTAGATTTTGGATAACCTTTTGAGATCTATGCGTCCCAAGGCACCGTAGTAGGTGCCTTGCCCCACTATTTTTGCAAAAAAAATCCTTCTTTGACCTCAAATCGCAGTTTTTAATATTTTTTATAAGTTAAAAAATTAGAAACTGAATTAAAATATAAAATAATACATATATTACATGTAGAATATAAGTACATTATTTATTAATAAAATATGTATTTACACACACACACACATATATACATATATGTGTATATGTGTATATGTGTATGTATATAACTATATATAATTGCAGCAAAAAAAATATAACTCTCTCTATATATATATACTTGTAGAGATAGTTAATACCTTCTAGAGTGTGTGGTTCCAGCCCCACACTTATTTATTTATTTTGTTATTTTTTATTTCCTATAGTTGGGCCGGTTGGGCCATGTTTATCCTTGCTTATTTGTGTTTTATTTTAAGTAGGTGTATTAGAGTAACTCCTACTCTTGTAAGGAGACTAATATATATAATATCTTATGGGGCGACAGATTAAGTCAACCGAACCCCTTTTTCTTTCTCTTCTTTCTTCTCTCTTCTCTTCTTCTTCTTCTCTTCTCTTCGAAGCCTAGTTGTTTTTTCTTTCTTCTTTTCCCTGAATTACAGTAAAACAGAAATCTATTTTGCTTTATTTATTCAAGTATACTTAAATATATAGGGTGCTGGTGTGGCACAGTCTGACCCGTTTGACCTGGATGGTTGAACTAGTGACCCACGACCCGGAGGCAAAAGCGATTCGGCCTCCGGGTTGGTTTTTAAAACATTTATTGGGTGGGGTAGACTGTTTTTCTTAGTGTTTCATCAGAAAAATAGTCTCTTTTGGTCTTCTTCTTGGAGTTTTATTGGGAGGGGTATTCATTGAGCCGTCTAAAGCAGATAACAGAATTTGGCCACTAACTCCCTCGGGTTCATACATTTGTGCTTCTTTTCTCAAAGCACTATTACCCTCTCATCCGGTTGGTTCTTCTTTTCCTATTAAAGAAGTGTGGTGTCGACCTATACCTCCTAAGGTTGGGGGTTTTTGTTGGGAGGCCTTCCTGGGAAGAGTTAATACAGGGGATCTACTCCAAAGGAAAAGACCCAACAGCTGCTTGTCTC